AACATAATCTCAGTTAATATGGTTTGAGTATTATTGCATCACAACAGAAACATTTAGTGTTCAGTTATCAACGAGTGCAGACAGTTAAACTGAGCACACACTGAAGACATGAACAACAGAAAAACCTGGTCACATAACTGTGGGTGCGTCAGACCCCGTCCCCCACGGTGCGTCCCCACCAACTTTCAGCACAAAGTTACGCCCTTGGTATGAATACTGTTTTCTGAGCACAGACAACAGTAGTGAATATGTTTAGAAGAATAGAATAGAAGCTCACCAATTCCTCTGTATTTGGGAGGATTTGCCTTCTCATCCAGCTGCAGCTGTGTCTTTACATACTCTGTGGGGAAGGTGATGCAGATCTCTATACCTCCTGCAATCCCACCTGATTGAAAAAAAGATGGTTTAATTCATCCATAAAAGACAAAAAGCCAAGACGATTTAGTTTCACAGAAAAACCTTGTAAAATTCTGTATTTGACACACTGTATAACCCCTTTTCACAAAGCAGTCACCTACAAATAATCTATCCTTATTAGAGATATCCCATTAAAGATGTTCTGGCCCACAGTCCTGATTGAAGTCAATCATAATGGAACTGTTCCTTAAATTGTATTTAAGGACTAGAATAATGAACTTGTCATTTGATGGTAATGGGAATTTTGTATAAATTGTATTATTATATATTTATTTTTATCTATATTATTGTTGTTTTCATTTACAAAAATAATTATACAGGAATTAATGAACAGTATCCCACTGAGCTGCAACTGTTGGAGGATCTGGTTTTTATGGTTTGTTTGTTCTGTTTATTATCTTTCTGTACTTAGTGTAGTGTGTAATTGCTCCATGTATCAGTTTAGTTTCTCCTGGTTGCCTTTCCCCAGCTGCTACCACCTGATCCTTGTCTCTCCACAGGTTTGTCTAATTTCTCTTCCATAGTTTCACCCTTTAAATTCTGTCTTATCTCCTCCTGGTCAGTTCATTGTACTTGCAAGCAAGTCTCGTTTTGTTTTTCGTTGTGCTCCTTGTCTTTCAGTTATTCTTTTAAGTGCTTTTTTTTTGCTGCCCTGCCAGCCAGGGTAGGTTTTAGGGTCGGGGCCATATGGGCATTGGCCCCAGCTGAAGTCTGACTGGCCCCCTGAAGTGCTGTCACTCATCTGTCCTTTGATGGTGGGTGTAGTTCTAAGTTCAAACACTCGTGGCATTAATGAGTCAAGTATTTATTTATGCTTAAGAATTTATTTATTATATATTTAAAAATTGTATTTTTACCTTTTTAATTCATTATTCCAGGA